ACCACCACCACCATCATCATCACCACCACCACCACCACCACCACTGCCATTACCACAGCCATCACCACCACCATCATCATCACTACCATGACCACCACCGCCACCACCACCATCATCACCACAACCACCACTACCACCACTGCCATCCCCACAACCACCACCATCAACACCACCACCACGACCATCACAACCACCACCATCATCATCACCACCACCACCACCACTGCCTTCATCACCACCTCCACCACTGCCATCATCACCACCACCACCACTGCCATTACCACAACCATCACTACCATCATCACCATCACCACCACCATCATCACTTCCACCATCAAAATAAAAGTGTGAAAGTGTTAGTCACTCAGTCGTGTCTGACTCTTTTTGACCCCATGGACTGGATCTTGCTAGGCTCCTATGTCCATGGGTTTCTCCAGGCAAGAATACTGGAGTGAATTGCCATTCTTCATGTTCCCCTTATATACGAGGAGGAGCACATACATGTGTTTTTAAAGAGACACACTCAGATGATCTAGTCATTTTCCTGGGGAACATCTGATGTGCCCTTTCCATGACTGGCTCTTGCTGGATTTTAGTTTTAGTTGAGATGTACCATTTTCACAACGGTGTTCTCCGACCACTGACTGGAGAGTAAACCTCTGTCCTGGTTGCTTAAAGAAAATCATGTGAACTTAACATTGTCTGATATCGTCTTGTTTATTTATTCCATGCATAGAGGCTTGTTAAGGACAGAGCTTGTTAAAACGTCTCTGTGCTGTAACTTTCTGCCCCAGGCCCAGGTGGTACCAGGCACTTAGTAGGTGCTCAGTCAAAGTTGAGCAAACGGATTTAAGAGTTTCAGGGCATTGTTGCTTTGAATCCAGATTTTGTCAGAGTATCAATACAGTAAGCTCTCCAAATAGCACATGTATTTCCAGAGAAAGCTGAGTGCTTATCTTGAACAACACAGGTCAAGAAGAGCCAGCAGTTGACATTTTTAAGCCTATAGATATATTCTTTTTTCTTACTGCTAATTTCTGTAGGAATAAATAGACACTTGTTGAAGAGCCCACCTCTGTCAGGAGGGCCGGGATGCAAGCATAAATTGTTTTCCTATTCATGTGCAGAACTCCAAAAATCTTTGCAGTCTGTGTGCATTAACATTTGTGCTAATTATAAAAGTATTCTAAAAAGAGTGATACTAAAAATATTAAGTGTTAGACATAGCACTTTTAAAGCTGAAGCCAAGTCTGTGAATAATTTAACTGAAAGTCGCACGTTTTACAACCGAGGCACCAACTGGAGAATTTCTCTACCCGGCTTGTGGAGCTGACAGGAAGCATGGTGTGGGCTGGGACCTACCCCATGAAACCCCTGTTCAGAGGCTCTTTGATGGAGATGCCAGGCCTGCAGTGAAGTGAGTGAGCCAGCCGGGGAAGCCCATGCAGCCCTGGGGATGGGGACCAGCGCCCCAGCAGCATCCAGGCTGCACTCCCTTGCAGACCATGGCCCAGCCCATAGCCACACGCACTAAATGGGGATTGAATCCATCCTTTTCTCATGAAAATGACAATAGGTTACAAGGCAAAATGAGGCTTGTTCTTGTGTCTGAGAGTTGTAGCTGTATCATTTGCTAAAATGTATGATTGACTACGGGCTTCCCAGGTGGCATTAGAGGTAAAGACTCCACCTGCCTATGCGGGAGACCCAGGAGATGCCAGTTTGATCCCTCGGTTGGAAAGATCCCTTGAAAGAGGGCACGGCAACCCACTCCAACATTCTTGCCTGGAGAATCCCATGGACAGAGGAGCCTGGTAGGCTATAGTCCATGGGGTCGCAAAGAGTCGGATATGACTGAAACAACGCAGCATGCACGCATGATTGACTACATACACTACAGAATTTTTGCATCAAAATCTTACTATGTGATGTCAAAATGCATTTAAAAAATATTTTATTTATTTGGCTGTGTTGGTAATTGTGGTATTCGAGATTTTTTTTTTTAAGTTGTGGCACATGGAATCTTGAGTTGCAGCATGTGAACTCTTAGTTGTGGCATGTGGAATCTAGTTCCCTGACCAGGGATTGAATCTGGGCCCTCTGCATTTGGGAGCACAGAGTCTTAGCCACTGGACCACCAGGGAAGGCCCCAAAATATTTTTCAGAAAATGTTGGAGAATGCTCAGCCAGCTCTTTAGCTTATGTTTTCATCAAAATTATTATTCAGCATTCTGTAGTACGGATAAAGGGAACATCCTCCTTGGTTTTTATTATTTTAATTTGTTGCCTTTCTTTTTCATGTCTCTATTTCAAGTTCTCAGTTCTTTTCACAATTAACTATTCAGAATTAATGACCTTTTAGTAGTTCTCTGAAATGTCTTACCTGGCCCACCTTTTCCAAGAATTGTCAGAGAGTGAGTAGGTAACATTTACTGTATGGGCACTGGGCTGAGTGTTTTACATGTATTGATTAGTTTAATCCTACAGGAACTGTGTGAAATAGGTCAGTGGTTTTTAAAGCTCTCTTTTGTCTGCCGCCCACGCTAATGCATTTCATATCATGATCCAGTAACAAACATCTTTATATATGACAAACAAAAGTGTCATAAATTAGTGTTAGCACTGCCCTCTACTCTATTTTCATTCTTGCTTCTTTTTTAAAACACGAAGTTTGATCTGCTAAATAATTCATAACCCACCAGCAGGTTGCAGCTCTCACAAAACATACTGAGGTGTGGTCCCTTACTGCTCCCGTTTTATGGATGAGAAAGCTGACAGGTTAAGTGAACCACCCAGGTGTCCCAGCCAGTGAGCCGCAGAGCTGGGATTTGAAGAAGAGCCTGGGTCTTACTCCTCCTCTACGGAACAGAAGAAGCACGCAGCTGTAGGACTTCCAGAGGGTTTCCCAGGTGGTGCCGTCGTAAAGAATCTGCCTGCTAATGCAGGAGACGCAGGCGACTTGGGTTTGATTCCTGGGACAGGAACATCCATGGAGGAGGGTATGGCAGCCCACTCCAGTGTTCCTGCCTGGAGAATCCCGTGGACAGAGGAGCCTGACAGGCTACAGTTCATGGGGTCACAGAGAGTCAGCACAACTGAGCACACAGCATGAGCATGACTTCCAGAAGAAAGTGGTCCTCAGCTCATCCCATCCTGCTTTTGTGACAGGGTGGGGGCAAGTATTTATAATACAAGTGCTGCATCTCAATGGTGTCCTCCACCTGCCAAGAAGAAGCTGATGTGCTCAGCATAAGACCAGGGACCCTGAGATTTGGGAATAGGGAACGAGGATCTTCTAGATTTTATAGGGGATTTTGAGAACTTGGGGGTGGGGCAGACACATCTAAGTAGGATTTTTTTAATTAAGTAGTATTCTGTGACTTTGAGGAAAAACTCTATCTCCCTTCAGAATTCTCAGTAGAGTTACCTACTCACTAATGCTTGAAATGGGGATTTCATTTTGGAGGTGTAAGTCCAGCCTCAAGGCTGAAACCAGGTGAGCCTCACCTGGCAGCCCTTCAGTGCAGAAGTGCCATACGTTCAGCAAGCCTTTGTTAATTGTCCGTTGTATCCCAGGCATATCCTGGATACAAGGGATCCACAGATGAATAAGCTCTACTTTTCCTGTGCATGTTGACTAGATCAGAAGAAGAGCATCTCATGGATGCTCACAGCACCTCTGCTGCGGACAAGGAAGCCTAGATTGTTAGCTTCTCACCCTTGTGGCTGGGGGTTCTCTGGTCTTTCAGCTGTCAGCTCCATGTGGGGCCACCATGCGCTGCACAGTGCCTGGCACATTGCAGATGCTGGATGCGCAGCCAGGCAACCCTTGCAGGATTTCAGAACTCACGCTGGGGACTCAGCCTATTTCCATCTGCCTGTAAAAGTAGAAATAAGAACATGATAGCTCATGTGGAGAAGCTGCCTTCCAGCGGTGTTCATGAGCATGGTATACTGTGTTTAGTGAAGTCAGTACCTGTGTCTGAAAATGTCGACTGGCTGCCTGTCACATTCCATTCCCTTCTCTACCTGACCCAGTAACTTGGGGAGGTAAAAGGAGAAAAAGTCTGCCTCCTCCAGCATTCCAAACCCACAGAGCTCCGCCCAGCAGTCGAGATTTGAGAGGAGCCCTTTTGCCTGCCCTGAGGGGGACCAGTCAGGTTGTATGTAGCTCCTACTTCGGGAGGCACTGATATTACATAACAGGAAGAAGCAGAGCGGCTCAAGGCAGATAAGTAGTGCAAGTGGAAAAAACATTTAGGACTAGTTGTTCCACTTTCACAAGATTTCCCAGGTGGTGCTAGTGGTAAAGAATCCACCTGGCCAATGCAGGAGATGCAAAGACCAGGGTTCAAGCCCTGGATTGGAAAGATCCCCTGGAGGAGGAAATGGCAACCCACTCCAGTATTCTTGCTTAGAACATTCCATGGGCAGAGGAGTCTAATGGACCCCAGTTCATGAGGTTATGAAGAGTTGGACACCACTGAGCACATGGTACATGCACATAATCCTCTTTCACAGCGAGGGAGTGGCAGTGGGCCGGGGGCTGGGGGTGCAGGAGAGGCGATGCTGTGTGGAGGAACTACCTTTCTGCCTGGCTTTCACCTCTGAATATTGAGTGAAGAAGCGGTCAAGAGAGGTTAATGTGTGTGAGTGAACGCTGTGTCGGGCATTGGTTACCCGGCAGCAACAGCAATAGTTCTGTGGAACACTGTATCAGAAATCTGCAGTTTGCACTCTTGAGTGGATGAGTAATACTTGTTTGCGTTTGTAAGTGAGGTCTGGTCATGGATGCAAGACTCTGTCTGAGGTCCCTGTTCCTTTTGACTTATTTCCCCTTTTATGGGATATTTTCTCGCAGTACAGAGGGGAGGCTGGTCTCCCCCTGCTGGGTGTGGCCTGTAGAACCTGAACAGTTAGGTTCCTGGGCTTGTGCTTTTTGTGTAGGTTCACGCAGGCTCCGTGAGTTCAGCTCTCACTTTCCAATCTTCTTCTTGCAGCCTCCCTGAGCAGCCTTCTGATCACACCATTCCCGTCTCCAAGCTCCTCCACCTCCTCGTCCAGCAGCTACCAGCGCCGCTGGCTTCGGAGCCAGACCACAAGCTTGGAAAACGGCATCATCCCCAGGAGGTGAGCTGGGTTCCCCTTGCTGTGAGGGGCACCCAGGTGGGCCCCAGGTGGGCGGCCGGGGGTGCCCATAGACACCGCGTTCACCTGCCGTCCCTGGGAAAGGGTGGAAGCTTTCCACTCAGCTTCAGCTCAGCCTGGAAGTTTACAAGTGGAGGGTCTAGGAAGGACACTGGGAATATCCAGGTAGATCTGTGTTGGTTTAAAGTGAGTACATGCTCTGTTTGTACTGGCTCCCCTCAGGGGGTAGCTTGTGTAAGTGAGAAGGCTGGAATAAATCTTGGCTTATGGTGACACAGTATGGTCTTTGAAAATATATGAACCCAAGAATGGTGACACACTCTTTTTTTTTTTTGGTAAAACTTAAATTCTTAAATAGTCATGAGTTTGATTATGAATAGAGATGGTTCCAAGATATCCTTTACCTTTATTTCAGTTGGTTTCAGATCTAAAGTTTAAATTGCAAAATGTACATTTTTGACTTATGATGATATTACATCAATAGCTTCCAATCTCTTCTTCGTACAACCCACAACTTAAAAGGAAATGAAGATGGTTGTCCCTATAAAAGCCAGACGACAGTCAGTTGATTTAGTAAGTTGAGTTGTGAGTAGCATGTATAGGGTCTGTGAGGGAGTGAAGAGTCAGCTGCACAACTGCATTTCAGAAATTCATGAAGACGAACAGGTAAATAATGGTATGAAGAAGATAAATGCTTAGAGAGGGTAGAGTGTTTGGAGCTCGGGAGAGAGAGGCAGCCTTCTGGAGGTCTTGGGGCTTGGGGAACCTTCATGGAATTGGTCCTGAAAGAACAGGCTGAGATATGGGGGGCTGAGATACGTAGAGGGCATCAGGCTGCCAGCACCCTCTTCTCCCAAAATTAACATCACATGTTAATGTTTCTTTTTAAAAGATTAAGCTCCAGGCATTTCGAGAACAACCTATAAAACGAGTGTAAGGCTTTTCCATTAAAAGTATTTTACTTTTAGGACTTCCCTGGTGGTTCAGTGGTTAAGACTGCTCACTCCCAATGCAAGGAACCTGGGTTCAATCCCTGGTCAGGGAACTATATCCCACATGCCACAACTAAATCTCAGCACAGCCAAATAAATAAATGTAAATAAATATATTAAAAATATTTTACTTTCAAAATATAAATAGGAGTAATAGTAATCCATAACTATTAACATAAACTTATAAATTGCAAAAAAAAATGTTTTGGTGCAGTAATTTTATATAACCAGTAGTAATACTTCATAAGATATCTTGACTCATAAGATTTTTTCTGGCTCACTTTTCTGCAGGTTCATTTGTTTAGGTCATCATAATTTATATTTCAGTTGGCATAATTGAAAGCAGTGTTAGCTGCTCCTTTCAATTGCAAGATGTTAGATAATTTTTGATAATTTTTTTATTTTGGGAAAGCTCATTTTGTTTATTGTAACAGTTACTGGAGCTGTATAGATGATAACAACATTGAGATAAATTTTTAATAAACTTTAAAAAAATACATCTAAATAAGATAATTCTTATGGAGAAGTTTTGCTAAAGATTTTATTCTTCACACATACCCATTTTGTATGTCTGAATTCAATTTTAAATGTAAGTTTATACAAGGTTATTTTAATGTTTCCTCTGCCAATTCCTGCAACTTATAGAGGTCTTAAAAGAAATTAGAAGTGTCTTTGTGGGTTGCGTGTAATTCAGAATACGTGTTTATGCATTCTATACTATGTTGTCAATTATATGGAAAATTAATTTTAAAATGGGCTTCCTTATTAATAATTTCATCATCTAAAGCTTCATCTAGAAAGTAATGGGTATTTTCTATTCAGTGCAACAGTCTCTACACTTGATTTCTATTTCTGTGCCTGTGAGTATTTGCTTGGCAATGTTGCTGCAGTTTTCAAAATGAGAGATTACAAACTCTTTGAAGAACTCTAGTAAGTCCCTGATGTATTAATACTTTACTGCATTGTCCACTGTAGGCCCTTCTTTGTGATAATTTACTGCCCTGGGGCTCAGGACAAAGAGCTGAGTATTTGTGCAGACTCCACAAGGGTGGGCTCTGATGATGGACAGACAAGCTGCCTCCACTGTGTCTGCCCAAGCCCTTTCCCCCTCCCACAGCCGTGACCTGCTGCCACCACCAGTCTGGGCCCAGGTCCCAGCCTTGCCGCCTTGGGGCCTCGTGGCACCTGGGTTCTGGTCATGTGGGTGTGTGCTTGACTCCAGGCTGACTGCCCAGCGCCCAAGTTCCCCGGGTGCTCAGCTGCCTGGCATCTGTGTGCATGCTCGTGTGCATGCGTCATCACCCCATCAGACTGCACTTAGAGAGCACAGGTTAAAGGTGACACAGTTAGGGATCAAGGTCGCACCCACTGAATGCTACCTCGAGCTTCAGCCCTTCTGAGAGCAGCCCTGCGAGGGGGCACAGCCTGGGCTGGCCCTGGGCTTGTCTTGTCTGACACCCAGGACGGAAGAGCTGCAGGGACTCAGCATCCATCACTGCCTGTGAAGATTCTTCAACTATAGGGGTATCGCCCATCTCCCTTATGGCAGCACCCTTGTGGGAGTGGGGATTAGTCTCTGACGCTGGACCAGAGAACAGTGGGTCCTAGAAATGTGATTACTTCTGCTTTGAGGGAAAAGTCACAGCAAAGACTTCATTCTAGAGAGAGTTCAGGGTGGCCAGGGAGGATCTTCACAGTCCATAGGGTTGGTTGCTCGTGGACACCCGTACCTTGGGTCCCTGCCATCCCACATGGGGAGCTTTGGTGACTGGAGACAGGGCAGGGAGAATCAGCAGGCAGTTTATCAGCTGATGCAGAGGTGCTGCCAGAGCGGTGGGGGAGAGAGGCTGCAGAGATTTCCCCCCTTAGTGGGGCTGTTGAAACCCTGAAGAAGCAGCTATTATAATGTCCCAGAAAGGCTGTTTCCTTGAATCATAAAACAAGTAACCAGAGTTGCTGATGAGTTGTTCTTTGACCTACAGAAATGGTGATTTCATATGTTCCAGTGTAATCCAAAGATTCAGTATGAGTTCAGAGTGACATAATCGTTTACACTAAGCAGTCCTGAGATCAGCTATGGGTCACTGAGATGTACTTAAATAGTAGAGTTTTGGCTTTATTTAGGATCTTGAAGTATTCATAACGTATGTAAATGCTGTTCATAAGTGTCAGCAAAGTTCTATTTGGTTTTTTTTATAAGAAGAAAAATTCAGTGTGTAGCTTAGTCTTCCCTTGACTTGAAGGCCTGTCAGCTGTGTGACTGCTCCCAGCCACTCCTCTCAGTGCTCCAGCTGGGTGACCCCAGCAGACGGATCAGACGTGGGCCCAGAGCCCCGGGTATTCCCAGTGTCTGAGCAGTGAGCCAGGGCCAGCAGACAGAAGCCCTGGGCTCTGACTGCAGCGTGGTCATTGAAAAGCTTTCTGTTCTGAAGCACGTCAGTCACTCTGCCTCAGTTTCCATGTTTGCAAAATGGACTGTCTATCTCACCTAGTGCCCTGACGGTAAAGCTATGGTAAAGTATTTGTGTGCATAGTTAAATGTTGAAAAACACTTTGAAGCATGCTATCATGTCGATTGATCTTAAAAGCACATTTACAGTATTCAGTTCAGTCACTCAGTCATGTCCAACTCTTTGCGACTCCATGAATCGCAACTCCCTGTCCATCACCAACTCCCGGAGTTTACCCAAACTCATGCCCATTGAGTTGGTGATGCAATCCAGCCATCTCATCCTCTGTCATCCCCTTCTCCTCCTGCCCCCAATCCCTCCCATCATGAGGGTCTTTTCCNAGCATTTCTCCTGATGTACTCTGCATATAAGTTAAATAAGCAGGGTGACAATATACAGCCTTGACGTACTCCTTTTCCTATTTGGAACCAGCCTGTTGTTCCATGTCCAGTTCTAACTGTTGCTTCCTGACCTGCACACAGATTTCTCAAGAGGTAGGTCAAGTGGTCTGGTATTCCCATCTCTTTATGAATTTTCTGTAGTTTATTGTGATCCACACAGAATTTACAGTATTACTCAGCCACAAAAAGGCAGAAAATGTGAGTCAGTTGTAGTGAGGTGGATGAACCAAGAGCCTGTTATACAGAGTGAAGCAAGTCAGAAAGAGAAAAACAAATATCATAAATATCATATATTAACACATATATATGGAATATAGAAAAATAGCACTGATGAACCTATTTACAGGGAAGAAATGGAGATGCAGACGTAGAGAACAGACTTGGGAGCATAGCAGGGAAAGGAGTGGGTAGGACAAATTGAGAAGGTAGCATGTGTAAAATAGCTAGGGGAAAGCTGCTGTATAGCGTAACACAGGCAGCTTGGCCTTGCACTCTGGGATTACCTAAAGGGCTGGGACGAGGAAGGGAGGGAGTCTGAAGAGGGAGGGGATATTTATATAATTATGACTGATTCGAGTCATCATATGGCAGAAACCAACACAACATTGTAAAGCAATTTTCCTCCAATTAAAAAAAAATGAACCCAGGCTTAAAAAAAGTATATTTATAAATACCACATGGCCTGATTTATTCCAGTTTGCATGGCCAATCCAAGACTACTACAGACTGAACAAAACTCAGCTGCTTTAGAGTTCAGGGGAGCAAGTGAGAGCCAACACGCTGTTAGAGCTGCTGGTGATTCTCAGAAATTCAGCAGGTGGCACCGTCTGCTGTGCTGACGAGTTGGTTACTGTTTTCAGGGTGGAGCTGGAGCTGACTCAGACATCTGAAGAGGGCTTGATGATCACTGCAGTTTGTTTATTAGAGACCACATTGACCAAGACATGCAGACCGCTGTCGGCATTTTGACTTTTGCAAAAAGGAGGGAAGTAGGAGATGACAAAGAAGAAAGGGTTGCAAGAAAGGATTGGTGTAACATAAGCTCAGAATTTCCTCTACAGAATACAAATAAACTGGTGCAGAGAATCAAAGTTATAGGACAGGTACTGTGGAAAAGAGGAGGGAGCATTGTATGAAATTAAGTAAAATTGTAAGAGCGCCTCAACTGTTTCTTTCTGTCACGCAAATAATTAGGATCTAGGGGTTTCTCAGAGAAAGCGGTTGCTGGTTTATTTTAATGCCTAGCATTTACAAGAGCACTGGGAGACCATGTCCTTCCCCTGGCGTGTCTTGAGTGAAGTCTTTTACAGATTTATCAGCCACACCAATGACATGGTCCTCTGAGATTCAAACACGATGCCTGTCTCCTTTCCTTTAAAAATGAGATAGCTTTCCTGACCATAAAACTTCTGATGTGTGTATGTTTTTAAAATGTAGGTATGTTCGAAATCTACTGTGCGTAGAGCACTAAAGAACAAGTTAAAGACCAGGAATGAGGCTGGTTGCCTTGAGTTTTGCCAGCAGATGTGACCGTCGGGGTGTAGTTTGTAGTAAAGTACATGGAGAAGACATCGTCCTCCTGTGCTTAGCAACAGACGCAGCTGAACACTCGGGTCAATAAGAAAGATTTACTGCAAACCTACCTTGTGCCAGGCTAGGCGCTTTCATTTGCAGTGTGATGTCACTTGCTTCGGGACTTCCTAAAGGTGGCGCTAGTGGTAAAGAACCTGCCTGCCAGTGCAGGAGACAGATAGATGTGGGTTCTATCCCTGGGTCGGGAAGATCCCCTGGAGCAGGGCATGGCTACCCACTCCAGTATTCTCACCTGGAGAATCCCATGGACAGAGGAGCCTGGCTGGCTACAGGCCATAGAGTCGCAGAGAGTTGGACATAACTGAAGCGACTTAGCATGAATGCACATCCTTTGCTTTGGTGTCTTTATAGAAAAAAACAAAATAATTTATAAAATCTTTCACTCTTGCTGTTAGCCCTACATGGTCATATGCTGGTTTTTTCAGAATAAAGGAGAGACCTGGATTGGCTGTATTTGTGAGGTTCACCCCTTACAACAAATTGAATACATATTCAGTTTGTTGGCTTCTCTCATCCTAGAAGCAGAGTCTTTGCACAGAACGTTAAGTTGGTCCAGGTGCTGACTATAGTAGAAGAGAGGGGGATCTTTCTTCTTGGGGGGTTTCCCGGAGAGTGTTCAAGGTTGCATGACTTAGTCTCAGCATTTATAGGAGTAACTTCATCTAATAGTTTTAGTAACCTTGGGAAAGCAAGCCCTGGCTACTAGTAAATGTTCAAATGCGATGTCCTGGTCACACAATGGACTGCAGAGGGCCTTCCCTTTCAGAGATTCTTATCTACTGGTATCTATTAGCCAAAACTGAGGGCCTGTGTTTTGAGCCAACATATGTTTCACACCCCTTCCCAAATATCACCAGTCTGATGTAACACAGTCTAAGGGAAAAGGACTAAGAATCTAATAAGAGGGCACTTAAAATTATTTTCAGTTCTCACTGAAGTTTCTTTTCATGTTATGATAACACTGAGTATCAAGTGGAGGTTTTCATTTTCACAACAGAATCTGACGGAGGAGGAGCTTAGCAGGGGATGTGGTCCACTGATGCAGGGCAGCTCCTCAAACCCCTTCTCCTTCCAGGTCAATGGATGAGACATTCAGCTTAGCTGAAGAAACCTGCAGTTCCAACCCGGCCATAGTCCGGAGGAAGAAGATTGCCATAAGCATCATCTTTTCACTGTGCGAGAAGGAAGAGGCACAGAGGAATTTCCAGGACTTCTTTTTTTCTCACTTCCCCCTGTTTGAATCTCACATGAACAGGCTGAAGAGTGCCATTGAAAAGGTACTGAAAGTGCAGTGCATGGCCCCACGGGGCTGTAAGGGCGGCGGGCTCTGTCCTGGATCACTTTCCCGGGGCGCGGGGATTGGCAGCAGAAGTGGTAGACGGATCCGTAGGCACACTCATGTCAGTCAGCAGGTGCTCATCGCTTTGGGAAAGGGAATTACTGCCTCCCATGTGGGCTGTAACCTTGTCTCATGAGTAAAGCCTGGTAGATGATTGTGAAGGAATGTCGTCTCAGCATAAGGTGACTTCTTTTCTCTCCACCGAAGGCCATGATTTCCTGCAGGAAGATAGCAGAGTCGAGTCTCCGTGTCCAGTTCTATGTCAGCCGTCTGATGGAAGCTCTGGGGGAGTTCAGGTAAGTTGGCAACAACCCAGTAAGGGATATTGTGGAGCAGCAACCTTGAACCTCCACATGCGTGGAGACCATGACTCGGAATCAGAGTTGGGGGCAGATTCCGAGTTGAGGGCTGGTTATTTATAACCTAATAACTATTGGTTATTTTAGCAGCTCCTTCCTTGGAAGCTAAGGCCCAAAGGAGCAAAAAGTTTAAGTCACCAGCACTAAGTAATCCTCATGACTGCCTGAGGGACAGTCTTTAATCTGATTGTTTCTACCAGAATGAATGGGGAAAACTGATGTTCATATGTCTCGTGTCATCTCACAAAAGCTCTCAGAGTAAGCACTCTTAGCCCACTTTATAGATGCAGAAACTTGAAGTCCAGATGTTCGTCCAGAGCACAAGTGGGGAGAGTGTGTGGGTCAGGGACATTACACTCTGGTTTGTCAGGACCGTCCTGTGCACACCTGGCGTCCTCCCCGTGAGGGTCCTCCTTGGGACATGAGTCACATGATCACCCTAGTGTATCTTTGCTGTGAGTTCCTAACTGACAACCTTTGTGTCCTGGAGACCAGTTTTCTAGAGGTTTTGCCCCTTGTGTCAGGCAGAAATGTGGTCTGCTCTGGGGGCAGGTGGGATTCACAGTCACCAGGCTGAGCAGGGTTGTTACAGCACTCCTCAGGGCTGGCTTCTTGGGTGGGGAGTGGAAGCCCCCATCTGAAGCAGTCACGGGCTAATGAATGAATCCAACTGTTCCTTTCTAGCTGCAGGACAAAAATGTTTACAATTCTTAGAACGTTAGAAGGTTTTTGTGATGAAGGTAAAGGCTGGTGAACTCAGATGCTGCTTGAAGCAAAGTCTCCAGTCTTTGCTGAGCCCTGAATTATGTGTAAAGTACTCCTATAACACATGACTCATTATCTGGGGTTGTTCAGACCAAGTCAGATATTTGAGGAATATGTATAGCTGTGTGTTTTGGTGGCAGTGTGGTGACTAGTGAACCTCCTGCAGTGTAGGCGCCCTGGGGCTGCTGTGACAGACTCCAGGCTGGCTTGTACTGGAGCATCTGCACACTTGTGTAACGAAAGGTCCAGATCTGAAAGTGCAGGATCAGAGGCCTCACTGTGGGTGGATGGGTCTTGTTCTTACTTTAGCAAACTGCTGCTCAGAAACGATGACAGTATGGTGTGTTAGTGCTTGCAGGCCTTGGTTTCAGTAGGTGAACCCCAGGTCCGTGTGGCTGTAACTTGTCCCTCCTGTCTGCTCAAAAATGTTCTGCTTTGGGCCAAGGCAGGATCCTTTGTGTCCTAGCTCCTTGGATGCACATGGCCCCAAACTGAGGTCAGAATATGCCTTGTGTATATTCACTGGGGAGAGGGGATGTGTCCTAGACTCAGAGGCAGAGAGGTGATCTGCTCTGGGGTGCAGGTGGGATTCATGATCAACAGGCTAAGCAGGGCTGTTGCAGTGCTTCTTAAAGCCGGTTTCTCGATGGGGAATGGAAACCTAGGCTAAGTCGGTGTGCTCCTTGGAAGGACCCCTGTGAGCCACATGGGCTGGAGCAGAGCCCCCAGCACCAGGCGTCCTCATCGGAGTGTGTTTCTGCTGCAAGGAACATAGCTCCTCTACACCTCGGTTTCTTAATCTGTAAAGTGATATGACTAGACTCATCAGTTTCCTAACAGCTTACTGTCCTAAGAATTTGATTCTGTTAGTCCATGTAAGAATCTAGTAAATAATATAGTGAAGAAGAGACATTTTTGTAGCTTTTTCATCTGATGAATAGAGTGCTTTGGTTCAGAGAAGGAAAGTACTGACGAGAAATTGAGAGATTTGCATTGCCTATGGTCACGTTTTCAGTCTAGCATGTTTGATCTCTCTTCCTTTTTTCTCCTGTAAAAATTGCCCTGGATTCTGACCCAAGGCATCATAAAGGATATTTTACATCTGTGTTTAGTATACGTTTCCTGTAAAGGGGTCTCTGCTGTGGCTGCTCAGTTTTGCTGTTGTGTAAAAACAGCACAGGAAAATAATAGGGAAATGATGAGCATGGCCGTGTGTCAGTAAAGCTTTATTTATAATGAAGGTCAGATTTGACCTGTACATTATATCCTAGTTTACCAACCCCTGTTTCATATTATTTTATTTTTAGTTTTCTTTTTAAAACAGTTTATAATTGGAGTATAATTCCTTACAAAGTTGTGTTAGTTTCCGCTGTATGACAGCGTGATTCAGCCATTAGCATGCATAGATGTCCCCTCCTTCCTGGCCTTCCTCCCACGCCCCCCGTCCCACCTCCCAGGCCATCACAGAGCACCGAGCTGAGCCCCCTGTGCGACACAGCAGATTCCCGCTAGCTGTCTGTCTTACACACGGCATGTGTGTGTGTCAGCGCTGCTTGCCCAGTCCATCCCGTCTCCTGCCCACGCTGCCCACAGGGCAGCTCTCTTTGTGTCTCTCTTCCTGCCCTGCAGCCAACCCGTGTGTTATATTCTGCTTCGAATGCCTTAGGGGCTGCATAGACCCAGGTGACTGTTTTCTTCTGGGTTCCTTTATGCGAGGGTCGTCCACCACGACCCCTGTGACAGCTCCGTGCTCCCCTTCTCTTCTGTAGAGGGACGATCTGGAGCCTGTACTCCGTGCCCAGGATCGCCGAGCCCGTGTGGCTGGCCATGATGTCCAGCACCTTGGAGAGGACCCAGCTGTGCCAGCGCTTCCTCAGGGAGTTCACGCTTCTGATAGAGCAGATCAACAAGAACCAGTAAGGCAGCCCCCCGGGGCCTTGCACGGCAGTTCCTAGCCCGTGTACGTGCTGTGGGTGACTGCTTCTTCCTGTGTTGACTCACTTGGCTACGTTTTCTCCCATTTCTCCAAGGTTTTTTGCTGCCCTGCTGACTGCAGTCCTAACCTACCACCTGGCCTGGGTACCCACCGTCATGCCCGTCGACCACCCACCCATCAAAGCCTTCTCCGAGAAACGCACCTCTCAGCTGGTCAACATGCTGGCCAAGACACACCCGTACAATCCTCTCTGGGCGCAGCTGGGTCAGTACCTGATGTGACCATTCAGAGGCCGCGTGGGGTGGAACTGCAGAAACAGCAGCGTTTTCGGTTGATATTACCATCCAACCGAGCGATTCCTGGGTGTCACTGGGCCAGCAGGGAACGGGAGACTGGCCCACAGATTCTACCTGCAAAGCAGCACCCTTGCCCCACCAGAGCCTCCTTCTGGTCTTTAAAGCCGTGCTGGCCCACTGGGTCCTCCCACATGGCAGCCACGGCTCCTCCTCCAGTGGGCTTCATGTTGGCACCACTGACATTTGGACCATCACATTTTTTGTTGGTTGTGGGGAGTGGGGCTGTCCATGCCTCGTCAGATTTTTTTGGGGTAATATTTATTTATTTATTTGGCTGCACCAGGTCTTAGTTGTAGCATGTGAAATCTAGTTCCCTAACCAGAGATGGAACCCAGGCCCCCTGCATTGGGAGCACAGAGTTTTAGCCACTGGACCACCAGGGAAGTCCCTGGTTGGATGTTTAGCAGCATCACTGGCCTCTGTTCACTAGCTGCCAGTGAAAACCCCTATTCCAAAGTTGTGATGATGAAAAATGTCACCAGACATTGCTGAGTGTCCCATAGAGGGCAGGATACCCCCTGGTTGAGGACCACCACTGCCCTAGAGAGGGTGGACTGGATAGGAGGAAAGTCAGAGAAAAAAGCAAGTAAGCACACACTGTGATTCCACTACCTTGTAAGTTTGAGCTGAGGGCAGAGACCTTGTCTTTCTGTCCACCGCCCCTTGGGCTACTTCCCCCGAGCTTCGCGCTCAGTCCTGGTGCAGGGACCTGGCATGCTATTTGGCAGCTGGTGGAGCATGGGCTTGTGAGACCAGGGCTCAGGGTAGGAGAGGTGGGTGCCAGAGCCTCTCACCAGCAGAGCCTGCAGTGACCAGTCAGACTTGCATACCTGCTCTGTCCCAGGACTCCGTCTGTCGGCTGGACCCAGGGTTGGGATGACAGGCAGCTCACTCTTGGGATGCCCGTTGCCTGTGGAGGAGGCAGGTTGTATTGAGAACGTCCTGAGCACTCATTTGGTGGGGTGGGCAGAGGCCAGCCCAGAGAGAGAGAGTGCAGTGTGGAGGGTGAGGGTCAGGGCCAGATGGCCGGACTAAAACCCTGCCTCCTGGGCAAGTGGCCTAACCTCCGTGCCTCTGCTTCTCCATCTGTGCTGTGGGAAATGATGACTCACAGCTGCTGTGGGAACTCCACTGCTTATCTGTAAGTAGCCTTATTGTCCATTCTGCTGCTGCAGCTGTTAATATGGCAGGGACCCCGGAAGAGAGAGTGAGTAGAGGGGGCTTTCAAGGAAGACACACTTGTTGGTCAGTCGCTAAGTCATGTCTGACTCATTGTGACCCCATAGACCGCACACCAGGCTTGCCTTGTCCTTCACTATCTCCTGGAGTTTGCTCAGATTTGCATCAGTTGAATCGGTGATGCCATCCAACCACCTCATCCTCTGTCGTCCCCTTCTCTCACCCTCAGTCTTTCTCAGCATCAGGATCTTTTCCAGTGAGTTGGCAGTTTGCATCAGATGGCCAAAGTATTGGAGCTTCAGCTTCAGCATCAGTCCTTCCAATGAATAGTCAGGGTTGATTTCCTTTAGGATTGACTGCTTTGATCTTGCAGTCCAAGGGACTCTCAAGAGTCTTCTTTAGCACCACAGTTCAAAAGCATCAATTCTTCGGTGCACAGTTAGAAGGGCAGCATTTTCCAGGAAAGAATTGCAGACTGGGGACAGGCACAGCAGCCTTGGGAAAGATCATATTCTAGTAGTAATGAAATGAAAGCTGTCACTGTGAGCCACACTCTATTTCAGGTGCTTTCTGCACATACTAATTAATTAGATTCTCATTCTCAACCTGTTGCTGCATCCTCACTATATTACAAATGAAAAAGTTGTCTTTGCCTGCGCCCTGGGTCACGAAGTGTGTGAGGAGGAGGGTGTGTTTCCCATGTTAGGGGGATCCTAGGTGCAGATGAATTAACTGAAGGATTTACAGGTGTCCTGAATGGATTTACTATAGCCCATCAGCACAGAGGAAGGAGCGGGAGCCTAGCTCCTTCTGGGTCGTTGGGTTCTTCCCAGGGAGGACCAGGCACTGCTGTTCTGGTTATGGACAACAGGCTTTAAGAAAAGTAGTTATTCAGCGGTGACAGAAGGGGGCCAGATGTTTAGAAAACATGGTGTTTCTTGGCGCCCAGTCACCCATTGTAAAGGAGCATGAATTGAGCGGTGTGCATTTAACTAGCTAAATATATTTCTACATAGCTGTGCTTTCCATGTGAAGCTTAATTGAGATCAGTTCCCTGTGTTCGGTATAACAAGGCAGAGTCCCTTCCTCTGGGCCCACAGTCCTCTTTCAAAGGAGAGCATATGTTCTCAGAAGTACCCCCCAGCACCCCAACCATCCAGCAGGGCCTGCAGTGGACAGACTGAGGACGGGGTGCAGCCTGGGGTACAGTCACAGGGGAGAGCTTTGTGAAGCCAAGGGTAAGTGATGGTTGGGTTTCCAGTATTACAGAACCTTGAGGACTGCACTCTTTTGACAGGGAGACACTTATTTCCAGTGATTGTTATTTTTATTAAACATTCACCAAGTCACAGCAAACAGGAAAATATAAATGGCCAGGAATATGCCTGGTGCTAATGTACTTGTATTCACGGTTCTTCCGTCACAGAGAAGGTCTGTCTTGAATGATTTCAAGGCCCATTTGAGAGTTTGCCAGGATGGGCCCTACTGCCACCTCGCTCCGCCTGCATCCCTGCTCATCTTCTTGATGAACACGGGCCAAGTTAACAGTAGTGTCGTGTGAATCCCTGACATGGCCGTGACACTCCAGAGTCATGGCAGACGTGATCACGGGAAGTAGCAGTAGTATGCTCTTAGTCGAGAAAGTTTTCTCAAACAAAAATGCTTGTCCAGAGAGCAACTGCAGTTCTGAGTTATTTTCAATTCTTGCATGGTTTCTCAGTCAGTTGCAAGAGCTTCCGAGGTAAAGTTCTACTAGTTTGTAACTTAGTCTTTTTATAGAGGGGATCATGTGGTTACACTTGTGTCTTGCGCATTACCTGTTCTCAGAGTCTTACCCTAGGAATCCTCTCAAGGGGAGAGGACCCACCTCTGATGGGTCCTGTCACTTTCTCCTGAGTCTTAATCTTAGCTGTATGATTAATCTTATCTAAGAAATGTCTCCCCCCCCAGGTGGAGTCCAGATTCCTGAGTTCTTACTGTAACTCTCACCACGTTATCTCCTCTGCTTTACTTAGGGCCCTTCCACGTTTTGATTTATTCCAGCATTCTGGTTATTCCCAAAGTGGTTTCTGACTCAGGGTTGCTCCTGCAGAGATGTGAGGGAGATAAATCTACGTGAAACACTCAACGCTGTGCCTGCAGTCAGGAAGTGTTGGCTTTTTGTTGTAATTGTCCATATTATTATCAAAGTACCAGAGATACACCTCACCAAGTATAGCACTCAGATTTTATGAAATGCAGTAGTTTTAATGGTCAGGCACTGGACAGACACCTGAGAAGCCTATGCTGCTGGTTCTCAAAGGTTTGCCTTTCTTCTACCTGTAGCCAGTTTTTAATCAGCATGTCAGGATATAACTTATGGCACATTTTCCTCCAGTAGAATTTTTATATGACCTAAGAGAAAAAAATCAGATTAATTATTCATGACCAAGTGATTTTTTTTCTTGGTAATCAAATTGATTCCACTTGATGCTCCTGTGTATTGAGCAGACCATTTCATTAAGTATTTTGAATTGATTCACTGCACTTCTGCTCAGAGATCCCAGAATTTGGATGTAACCCCAAGGCTTATTGTCCTCAGATTCTTCTAAAAAAGTTCTCATCATTCTCATTTNTTAAGTATTTTGAATTGATTCACTGCACTTCTGCTCAGAGATCCCAGAATTTGGATGTAACCCCAAGGCTTATTGTCCTCAGATTCTTCTAAAAAAGTTCTCATCATTCTCATTTCCAAAATAAGTGATTTGGTTTGGTCACAAATAAGGGCTCTGGCTTTAGCCATCCTTGGGGAGAAGGGAGTCAGCTGGCCCACTGGCCTACATGGTAAGACCTAGCCCACAAACAGGGGCCTGTGTGCATGGCACTGCATGCAGCACTGAACCCAGTGTACGCACCGTGCTCTACCCAGTATGCACAGCCGTGCACCGACATACACCAGCCCTGCACCTGGCACACCCCTGCACTGTATACGTACCCAGTGTGCACACCCGTGCACCGACATACACCAGCCCTGCACCCGGCACACCCCTGCACTGTATACATACCCAGTATGCACACCCGTGCACCGACATACACCAGCCCTGCACCCGGCACACACCAGCACTGTATACGTACCCAGTATGCACAGCCGTGCACCGACATACACCAGCCCTGCACCCGGCACACGCCTGCACTGTATACCTACCCAGTATACGCACTGGTGCTGTACCCAGCATATCTCTGCAGTGCACCCAATAACACCAGTTCTGTACCCCGCACACGCCTGCACTGTATACCTACCCAGTATACACACTGGTGCTGTACCCAGCATATCCCTGCAGTGCACCCAGTAACACCAGTTCTGCACCCAGTATACACCACGCTGCCCGTGAACACCCAGAGCAGGGCTGCTCCTGACCGGTCTTCCTAGGCAGACATTCCAGCCTAGAAGGAAACGAAAAGAAGGTCATTCTAGGAATTAACCTCTGTGCCTCAGGGGTGTGCAGTGAGTCTGGTCTGGGAACACGTCGTCCGTGTTTCTCCTGTTCAGGCTGACATACAGCCTTGAAGCACTCGCCCGGGTGACCATGTCTTTGTGTCCACTTGGCCTCTAGGCGACCTCTACGGAGCCATCGGCTCCCCGGTGCGGCTGACGCGCACGGTGGTGCTGGGGAAGCAGAAGGACTTGGTGCAGCGCATACTGTACGTGCTGACCTACTTCGTGCGATGCTCAGAGCTGCAGGAGAACCAGCTGCTGTGGAGTGGGGGCCCCGCGCGAGGCGAGCAGATGCTGCACGGGAGCAGCATCACCACTGCCCTGGAGAGGGGCGAGGTGGAGGAGTCCGAGTACGTGGTGGTCACGGTGAGGAGCGAGCCTGCCCTCCTGCCGCCCACCCTGCCTGTGACCACGGCTGAGGGGTCGGCTGGGGTCCCGGTGGACGCTGACCCCAGAGACCTGTGTCCCCCACTTGACGGAGAAGGAGGCGGGGCCCTGGAGAAGAGCCTGACAGCCCACGGCGCATGGAGACCTCAGGGTGCATCGTGCGGGGAGGAGGAGAGTAAGGAATTCCCTCGAGGCGGCTCTGCGAGGCTCCCCAGTGGTGCAGGTGTGGGCACGGGGCTGAAGATGAGCCCTCCAGCCATCGGGGCAGAGCCAGGAGGGGAGGTGCCCAAGAAGCTGCCAGACCGGTCAGCGGCCAGGCCATGCCCTGATGGACGTCTCCGGGACAGGCCGCCCTGGGAAAAAGTCACCTTCCACATCGGGAGCTCCGTGTCTCCAGAGTCGGACTTTGAAAGTCGCACCAAAGCAATGGAGGAGCGGCTACAGGCCTGCAGGTGTGCGGAGCCAGAGCCGGCGCAGGGACCCCCGGCCAGGCCTGGTGCGGCTGCCGTCCCAGCCCAGGAGGGCCGGGACCAGCGCGCTCCGACATGCTCCCGGTCCCCTGGGGCATCTGGGGGGGCCAGAGATGTCAGGACCGAGGCTGCCGCGGAGGTTGCTGTGGCGCCAGATGCACGTGCCGCCTGTGCACCTGCCAACCCCGCAGGCGTGCTGGTGAAGCCGGGGGGTCTGGGGGGCAAGGATGCAGACGCGCCCGCGATGAGCGGGTGCACCGCTCCTGTGCCCGGTGGCGATGCCAGCTTCAGGGTGGAAGGTGGCCTCCCCCGGAATGAGAGCTCTGACAGTGCCCTTGGAGACAGTGATGACGATGCATGTGCAGCGGCGTCGCCGGACCTGGGTCCTGGAAGTGATCCTGATGCGGACCGTGACCAGAGCGAAGGGTCGCTAGAGGTGGAGCTGCCACTGCCCAGGTAAGGCCGGCGGCAGGCAGAGGGAGCTGGGTCAGATGCTGCCTCTCTGGCCACTGAGGGATGCAGTGGTGGTGGGGAGCAAGGCATGTCATATCTCGCCATCCTCGAGAAAGATCTGTGGCCATGGATGCCCAGCCTCGGAGGGCGGAGGGTGGATGTGGTGGTAGGTTATAACCCCCAAGCAGCTTTTCCCCTGCCGGTCTGGTCAGGACAGCTTCAGGTGGTTGGGAAACAGCACCTCTTCCTAAGGCAACATCAGCAGATGACTTGGTCTGTAAAGCAGTAAGGAGAGATTTGTCCCTTCCCAGTCCTGGCAGCCCCCTATGCAGGTGTGTGAGTTCCTGGAGCCAGACTTTGCCAATGACACCTCTCCCCCACAACACACACACACAGTTTCTCTTCTCTCCCGACCCAGTGCCTGGAGGATGAGGTCTGGGAGGCAAAGAACAGACTCACAACCAGCCACCAGAATATCTGATTTTTCCTGCTCTTCCTCTTTAGGAAAGTTCCTTTTTCCTTTAACTCCCTTCCCTTCCCGCACCAGTGACCTGCTTCCCCGAGGACTCCTTATGTGACCGTCCCTGGATCTGTTTCTCTCACCCGTGTCCCTGGGGCTTTGTTCCCACTGCAGTCCAAGAAGGGAGCACGTTTGCATTGTGCATGCTGATGGCTGGTCTTGTTTTAGGTCTCAGAGCATCAGCAACCCCAATGTGAGAAACTTTGGCCGCTCCCTCCTGGCGGGATACTGCCCCACGTACATGCCAGACCTGGTGCTTCACGGGACCAGCAGCGATGAGAAGCTGAAGCAGTGCCTAGCAGCCGACCTGGTCCACACGGTCCAGGTGAGTGATCCCAGCTGGGAGCCTCGGGCTGCCAACCAGGGGGTGAAGAAGTGGGCAGCCAGGCGGGGTGGGCAGTCACAGGCATAGTCATGGGATTGTTGCTACAGATACAGCCAGGGTTACGGGAACCAGCCAGGCTGCTGAGGCATCTGGGGATGTGTGGAACTGGAGGCTGCGAGTGCCACAGGGCACAGCAGCGGGGAAAAGAAGAGGGGCTGCCTGGCTGTCGAAGCACGATGGGGTGGGGGGACCCCCGACATCTCACTTCTCCAGCCTCTGAGCTCCTACAGGGCCTCCTTTGGGCTAAGCCCAGCTTGAAGCCACAGAGGGAGGAGGTCATGGCTGATGCAGACCCAGGCCTGCGGTCTGCAGAGCTCACCTCTGCACAGGACAGGGAAGGGCAGAGGGTGAATCTGGAGGGGGTGGTGCATCAGGAAAATTGGAATTTGGCTGGTTACTTTCTCCTCGCCCAACAAGTACTTTTTGAGAGTTAGAACAGAGGGCAGTGCATGCAGTCTTTGTCCTTGAACCTCTCCTCTGTGAAGACTAGACTTCCATCAGGCCCAGGCCAAACAGGCTAGAGGTATTTGTGTGAAATGGGAAGAAAAGTTTGATGGTGAAGCAGCTGCACTCACCCCCCTGAACGGGGAGGCGGGAGGTCAGGGGAGGGACTGAGGCTGGGGGCCCCCCCAGCGCAGGGACTGGCGCCCAGTTCCTGACCCACCCTGCTTTGTGGCTGGCCACCACCCTCCCCAGGCCAGCCCTGGAAAGAGGCGGTGCTGTCGTACTCTGCACAATCCTCAGGAACACTGTCCTTGCCTGTCATCTCAGAGGCCCACACGTCAGTGACCTCAGAGAAAGGAGATGCTCTCCTTGGACAGTGCTCTTTCTAGGTCATCTGAGCCACGCATACATTTAGTGGCCACCAGGAGCCGGAAGGCAGGGAATTTGAGGCCCTCCTTTTGGCAGCACCATGTGTTTATAATCATGTATGCAGCGCCCGTGGGGTTTTTCGTCTGCCCATGTCAGTTTGATCTGTAAGAACACTGGTGCTGCTCACTGGACCCTTCTCCCATGGAGCCTGGGTTCTGCTCTGAGAGGTGTGCCAGGAGCTCACATGTAAACCCACAGGGCCATCCTCACCCACCCATCCTCCAGCAAGTCATCATCCAAATGCCCCAGGCCCACTGACCACCACTGTGAAGACACATCTGTAGACTGATTGTCCCCCCTGAACTTATTATCTGCAGAACCATTAATGACATTTTGTACATTTTCCATAGGCTGACACATTCAGATGTTTTGTGTATTAGGTTTCCATGGTGACCATCTAGGTCTATAATTTTTACATTTAAAAAAACAAGACCATGTTTCCTCTGCTTGTGCTCTTAAAGACCTGTCATATCCCATTTCTCTTCCTTTCAAAGGTAGTATTTTCACACTGCAGCTGTTCTCGTCTCTGCAGACTATGCAGTCAGCCTGAGAGATGGAAAGTTATTAAGCCTAATAACCTATATTGTGTCAAATGGTGGGAACATCTCCCATGCAGCCCGCGTGGGTGTTAATAGGGAATTGCAAGGGTCATAAAAATATCTTCAGAAGAATGTATCCAATCAACGTTAGTGGAGTTCTGATTTCACTTGGCACAGTCATCATAATGAATTTTGCTTTTGAAGTAAGTGTTCCATTTAAACTTCTCAGACTGGGATCCTGCTCCATGGCAGCGTTTAAATAAAAACAGCCTACTTTCAACTGCCATTGACAAATATTTGTTGGAAAAAAAATTAGGAGGTTTAGGAGGCAGAACATTATATTGAATGACTGCTCCACAAAGCCTAGTAACTATTTAAATTCTTGAGTGTGTTGCCAGAGAAAAAAGCAAGGATTCAAGAGCAAGGACAGGAGCCGAGTTGGGGCTGAAACTCTGGCTTGTTGAGGAGGGAGAGCTCGGGGTAAATTGCTCTCTCATAACTTACCTTCAAGAACCTGGTGTGGGGATTTTAATAATTTCTAGTATTCATGCCACACTTCACCCAGCTTTGGGATTCATAATTGTTTACAGAGAAGGATTTTCATTTTTTATTTTATTTTTTTTAGAGAAGGATTTTTAGTAACTTTTTAAGAGCAGTTGATTTACATTATTGATCTGTTTTCGAGGCCTGTGCGTGACAGGATTGTGAAATCTGTCTTATGTAAATACACACTTCTGTAACCTCAGTGGACTGAGTTGTGGAGTTTCTTCCCTCACTGAGATACTGCGTCTGGAGCTCCCAGTACTAAGAATTTCTTTTTCCGCATTTCCTTATCCTCGACTCTTATGAAAGAAAGAAGTATTAACTTTATTTCATTCATTTCCATTTTTGTTACCGGCTTCCTCGTGGTAAGATTCTAATGGCCTTTAAATATTTTAACATGTGTTCTTATTTAACCCACCTACTACCTCTGTTCCATCGTTTGAACTGTCTCTCTGCCTCCTAGTGCATAGATTATACAGCTGCCTTGAATTAGGCTGAGGTCATACTTCGTTTCATTTTTTTCCTGCCACATCTAAACGTGAATTCTTTCTTCTGTTTTCCTTTTGACTTTAAAGGGTGAAGTGGGAGAGCCAGCTTCACTGTACACCCATGACTCTCAAGGAGCCTTTTCTCTCCCCTTCTCTTCCCCTATGTCTTGTCCGCCTGTGGGCACTGCTGACCCTTGGGTTCGGGGTACTGGGCTGGGGCAGCTATGAAGTTGCAGGGAGTGGAGGTGGTGTAGGAAGCTGACTGACACTGGTGCTGTGGTGTTACCGCTTGTTCTATGGTCGTCAGGTAAATCTGTTGGCTTTGCTAGGCCTCAGAAAAACTTATTTAGAGGAACAGAGAAAATGTAACCCAGCAGTTAAGAATGCAGCTTCTAAAGGCAGACAAACCTGAGTTTGACTCATGGCTTACCCCTTGTGGCTGTGTGGCCTTGGGCAGGTTTCTCCCATCTTCCAAGCTTCTTTTTCATATTCTAGAAAATGATAGTACTTGTAGGTCTGATTGAAGACGGTGAGATGATGCGTGTCCATTGTTGAGCACAGCGCCCCACACGTTACTGAACACCCATTAAACAGTAGCTATTAAAATGACACTGTGAATGTGCTTTGTAAATGAGTTTCCCAGGATGCTCACGCTCTGGGTGATGAACAGAAGCAGTGCCCATTCATTTAGTGCTAACGGCCGCTGAGTTCCCTCTGCCCTGACGGTCCAAGGAGCAGGCCAAACTACTTCAAACTCTGCAGGGTCGGGTCATCGAGACCAAAATTAGCATCACACATTGTTTCTTTTAAGAAAAACTGTATGCCAGGGCTTCAGGCATCTTCAGAATACTCTCTAAAATGAGGAAAAGTTGGATATGGCAACCTCTTTCATTTAAGAGTAGCAGCAGGTTGACTTCAGAAATCAGTAGTGCAGATAAGGAGCTTTGCTAACAGCCTGGCTGTGCTGTGAGCCTCGAATACCTAACAGAGTCCGTGCCACACCATCAGCCAACAAGTTTATGAAAGAGCCGCGAGTCACAGGGGCGGGATAAAACATTGCCTTAGTAACAAAGACAACACTGAGGTGGCTCGGATCAGCAGCCACCTTCAGTCAGTGGTGTTGTAGAGGAAACAGCCGTGCAGAACACATCTGTTCTTTGAGACAGAATAGCTCTGGTCGCCTCCTTTCCTGGGTGGGGTGGTGAGTGTGGTGGGGCCATGGACCTTCAGCCACGGCTCACTATTGGGGGGGGGTTGTGTGTGTGTACATATACACATGTGTCTGTATAAATGCACATGTGTAAGTATGCACACTGGGTTATGACATTCAAACATATTTCTTACTGCACGTGGTGATTTTAAAAAATACTTGAAAAAACTACTGGTATCTGGGTATCACCACCAACTCTAGTCTGAAATCTTGGTGACCCCCTCCCCTTCTCAGCACCCCTCCACCTGCAGCCATTACCCGCATGCGGCCACTTTGCACACAGCCATGGAGGGCTCCTTCTCAAATAGGGATTTGATTGGTCACTCTTCTGCCCTCATGGGGACCCATTTCTTTAGAGAGTGAAATCTAGTCTCCTTGGCTGGGATCACCCCTCGTATGTCCTTCACACACACACACACGGTTACACTGTTGACCAGCCTTTAACTCCCGTTCTCTCTTCCACCTCCTGGCCACGCGCTGTGTTCCCTCTGTCTCAGGCACCATAGAACCAATTTTTGTGCCGTTTGCAGACCTCATCCTGACGTTGCCTCTTCTCTGAAACCACTCCAGTCCCTTTGCACATGCCACTTGCTTCCGCCTCCAGCGTCTCCTCCTGCCGGGCTTGCAGTGCCTGAGCAGGAAGGGGGCTTCAGTCCTACCAGTCCAGGGACAAGTGACACAGTGTGGTCCCCCCGCGCTGGTTAGAGAAGTGTGTGTTCCTTCAGGTGACACTGTGCTCTAGACTGTGACCCTCCTAAAGCAGAGAGAAGTGATAGACTCTGCATTTTAAGATGTAAAGAGGAAGATTACTGTGCTTAGATATGACGCCTGAGGCCCTTTGTGTTCTTTTTTTACCTGAAGAAGAATAAAAAGCCCTCAAAGGCATCATTTCTCTTACATTTTGTAAATATTAGGCACATGGCTAATTTTGATGTTTTCCCCAGTTTTTTCATCACGTGCAGAGTATTTGGACATCTAAGCCATTCTCTGCCGAAAAATCTACCAGCCATCTTACATTTTGTCTTAGGATCATGCACATCCTCCTATAACTTTGTTCTGATGATCCCTTTTGACCTCGAGCGTCTCTCCTCGACTTTAAAATGTTTGCTTCCTCAGCAAGTGACCAGCCTAAAGTTTAAGGCATCCCTGAGGCTGTGCTCAAGGCTGAGGCTTCCCCGAGCCCCTGCCTCCCAGGACCCCTCCGTAGTGCCCATGGTTCAGAATGGTTGATTCTCTCTCCTTCTCTGCTTTATCACAACTCTGAAGCCTTTAGAGACAATATGGCCC